TTCATTTTTTTTAAATTGTTGCATACCTATGAACACTATTTTTTCTTTAAATATCGTACGTTTGCAGCCGTTCCGGGTTCGTCTACTTGTGTGAATACATTCCGTTTCACATTGCCTTTAAATAGCTGAAGATACATAGGCTTATTCTTGTCGGCTTGGGGCCCAAAAATTGTGGCTTTACCTTGCTATCTGAAGTTATATTGTGGTTATTTATCGAAACTAATTATAGTGTGGGTCTTTGTTATGGATATTATTTATATTGTTATCAAATTTTTTGTGCCCTGTACCAATTGCAAAGAAGGAGCAAACGTTTGTAACCGGCAGAAGCAGACCTTGTCCATCTCATGAAGTGTATATGAATATCCAAGAAGAGTCGAGTCTACCTTGCCATATACGTTTGTTTGTCCGTCCGTCTTTATGTGATATCTCGCAGCTAGGCAGAGTATTTCATATTCGGACTAGAGCACTTTGAATTGTTTTTATCAAAACTAGATAAGCGCGGGTATCTTTCGGGTTTATGGTTATGGCTGTGGCTTGAAATGTCTGTGGTCAGTAAAAGTTTATATAACGCTAGATCTAGATCTAGATTTATGTAGATATCTGAGCAGGCACGTGTCCAAATAAAAGTCAGACTATAATATACGTTTATTAGTGATAAAATTAATCTACATCTAAAAATATAAAAAATTATATACATATGTAAATATTTGCCCCAAATTTTATAAATTTATAATGTTCCGTTGATCATTTTGTAAAAAATTTTCAAACAAATAAATTTTGATTGACAATTTGATACAAATAAATGTCGCTGCTCCTTAAAAAATAATTCTAAATTCTTTTAGGACTAGTCTAGCAATCAGTTATGAATTTCCTTTGTAAATTTTGTCAGCTTTACATGTACATAACGAATCGTAAATCAAATACCAACGTCAGCAGAGCAAAGGTATAACAAAAGTATTCATATTCGAAAGAAGGACTCGGCTCTTCTGCTGTCATATTCACTTGAGATACTCAATTTGAAAAAAAAAAACTAGAGAGAAGAGCTATCTTTGGCATGCCAAAGATTCAATACCCTTGCAGACTTAACCTTTTCATAATGTTCATAGTGGTTTGCCCATATCTAGGAAGTAGAGGGGAAAATAGTTAATGCCAAGTATGGTTAAGATATCTTACAAAACAAAAAATTTTTCCATGTACAACCTACTTTCGACCGATCGTTCCTAAGGCAGCTTTATGATATAGTGGTCCGATGTAAATAAGACATTGCATAAATGTAGGAAACGTAGTGAAATCTCTAAATGTCAAGTTTGGTTAAAATATTTTGAATAAAAAAGAGGCACTTCTGCAAAGTTTCCTGACAATAGCTTTAAAAATGAGAGACTAGTTCGCATAGAAACAGACAGACGGACAGACGGACATGGCTATATCGTCTGTTGATACTGATCAAGAATATATATATATTTTATGGAGTCGGAGATGTCTCCTTCTATGCGTTACACATTCACGAGAAAATTGTAATACCCTTTGCAAGGGTATAATGAACTTCGGCAGGGTACAATAGCCGACACTCCTGCTAATCTTAAATCAGCTAATATATTCGAATTCTTATGAATACTTTTGGTTCCCAAAAATTGCTCATTTTGAGTTCTAAAGAACGTTTGTTTAGTCATTTTATCGAATGTTTCGAATGCTTCAACAAATATCACCTTCTGCCCATTATCAGCGTATGTCTACGACTGGGGGATTGGTGTAAGCCCCGACGCCAACATCGATAGCAAAGTTCATATAACTATATATATGTAACTGCGTGTTTTTTTTTATCACTTTTCTGGCTACCTGTTTTCGTAATCGTAAATTTGTCTGATATGCTTCTTATCAGCGTATTTAATGTGCTTGCTAATTAAGCCATTATCAAACGTTTAATCAATACATCATTTCAAAATATGCACAGACACTGCTTCAACTACGTTAATTACTGAAGTGGGGATCAATCAAATGTTATGTATATAAATCAAAATTAATTAAGTCTATTAGGTGCCCACTTGTTATACATTTGCTACAGCTGCAATAACTTTCTTGTAGATTTCAATTCCACGCAGAAAGGTATCTGCACGCAAATATTCATTGTGATCGTGCAGCAAGATGGGCGTATTGTTAATAGGCGAAAAGCCCAAGGCCGGAATGCCAAACGATCGCAGGAATCGGCTATCCGTGGCGCCTGGGAAAACGCGTTGACGGGTTGTCACACCGCTGAAAAGGTTTTATGGCATTGCAAAGTAAAGAATAAAGGAAATTGATGTCTTGTTACATACAGTTCCTCCATAGCTTTCTTAAAGGCCAACCAATATGGATTTGATGCATCGATTCCAATCGCGAATTCGCTTCTCGAGCGCATCCAAATCCATTGTTATGGCAACTCGAATATCAAAGACCACTTCCAGTAAAGGAGGTACCACATTGCTTTGGACCCCACCGAGCAGTTGGGTTAGGTTAACGGAAGTAACATCTCCAATGTCCATGTTAGAGTCTTCTTCGAGTCGTTTCACCTGTGACTCACGGAATTCCATCATTTTGTTCAAAATATAGTTGAGCTTCTGGCCAGCGGTGTTGGGTAGGAGTAGAGAACCGTGCCCAGCAGTTCCACTGATCTTAAGCCTTAAATCTGAAGGGACCTTGTTCGTATATAACGCAATGTAAGCTGCCTGCTACTTACGCCATATAGTTCGCTCGGCATAGAACACGGCGTAGGTTTCATCTTCACTGGAAATGCCCTCGTCAAAGCTGAATCCCACGTTTAGTTTCTTGAAGTAATCACTCTTGATCAGGTGAACCATTCCCGGAGTAACGCCAGCCTCCTCATCAGGTACAAAGGTGAGAATTACTGTTCTCTTTGGCTGGTGGCCGTCAGCTTTGAGGGCGCGAATAGCCCCCAGATATTGAGTTGCAACACTCTTCATGTCCTGAGAGCCTCGACCAAAAATGCGGCCTTCATCATCCAGATCGGCATTGAAAGGTTCGTGTGTCCACTTGTCCGGGAACACCGGAACAACGTCCATGTGTGAATTTAATACAATGGAAGGTAGTTCCGGCTGTTTGCCTAGCCACTTTATAACAACGACAGGATTCAATCCGGCATAGACAACATCTACTGGTAGCTCCAGATCAGCTGCCTGACGTTTCAAGAATTCCACACAAGCAGCTGTATAGCTCAAAAACATACGGGTTTCATTTCAGTTCCGAATATTCTCACGATCTCTTCAACTTACTGTAATCTACATTTGGGTGTACCGATGGAATGCGTAAGTATTCACGGAATATTTTAATTTCTTCATTGTTTTCCCACTGAGATTTATTCATTTTGGAAAAAGTGTATAGTACGTTCGCAGCGCTCCAAGGTTGATTTATGTTTGCTTACGAAGTGTATTTCAGTCTTCCTTAAATACCTAAAGCTTAATTGTGGCTTAGTCCCCAAAAATGTGGTTAACTTGTTATCTGCTGTTATGTTGTGGTTATTTATCAAAACTAAGGATAGTTCGGGTCTTTTCTATAGCTACAATTCGTATTGTATTATCCGCCAAATTGTTAAGTTTTGCGAAACAATTAAATTAGCCCGTCTAGGAGAATATAAGTATCGCCAAAGCTATTTATATATATACCTATAAATATACCCTTTTTAAGAGAAAGAACATACATAGTGATATACAAAAATTATTTGGGAATATTTTTTTATTGAACTGCATGCTGAAAACTATTTAATTTTAATTTTACAGATTTATGCATTTTCTTCTTTTCCAATATCTGTTTTATACAACATTCTCTTCAGATTCTTTATTTTTATTTTTATTTTATTTTTTTTTCTGCGCTTGAATCGATTAGTGTCTTCTGATCTCTACCAAGCGAATAACTCGTCCAATATCTAACTTGGTTTGCGTGAATTTTGTATTACCATAATGCCCGGTCTTGTTGTTTTTCTCTTTATACACGTGTAAAAATTAGTCTAAATTTGAGTGGAATATGTAACGCATAGAAAAAGACATCTTCGACTCCATAAGGTATATATATTCTAGAACATACTATTCTAGAACTACTTTTCTATGCAAACTAATCGTTCAGCTTAAAAGCTATCGACATTAAACTTTGCATATATAGATATTCCTGTTGGCAGTACTTATGTCGGAACCGAGCAAGATCGGACTACTATAACATGTAGTTACCATGGGAACGATCGGTCAAAAAAATCTTGCATATTGTCGGTGTATCAAGATATCTTTACTTATCCCGGAGTTGATTAGTTTCACTATTCTGCTTATATAAGTTAACAGCTAAGTTATAGTTATATAAGAATCGGTTAATTTATATGAGCCAAATTTGATCAACATCGCATTAATATATTATATAGCCTTATTTGGGTACGGCTAGCTATTCCGTTTTCCGAAATGTCTTCTCACATATCTGCAAAGCCGTAGGCTCTCGTACACAATGTGTATAAAATTATCGGCGTGCCGAAGACGGTTTTCATTCTTGTTTTAATATAAGCAAATAAAAAATTCCATTCGTATTTATAGGTTAAAAATAACCAAAGATTGTATATTAATAGACTTCCGTGCTGTCCCAGTCAATTTATTCATACATATTTAATTGCTTTTTTGATTTAATCGAATTTTACACATGTGAAATTTCACTCGTAGCATGGTTATATTTATTAAATTAAATTCTTTTTTTCACCAATATAGAATGTTTTGGAATTTAAAATGTAAGTAAGCTGCCAGTTGCTTATTTGAAACCGAAGTAGTAAAGCTTCAAGTTACATCCAGAATTATAAATATTATTTTAACGAGCATGTTTGTTCTTTAGTAAGTAAGGGCACAAAGTAACTCCAAGTTGGTTACACATTCTTTGTTTTACTTAACCTGATTAAATACCAACTATTTATATCAAAAATTAAGATAACAGTACAGAGTTATCGTTTTGATATGCACATATAAGAGTAAAATGTAAAATCATGGCAATTTAATTTAATAGGCATGATAGGCAGAAAAACAAATATGGTACATATGTGAACATTCCTTTAGATCTAAAAATATCCATTTAATATTTGTGACTTTAATAATAGTGGCAGCCAAATGGAGTAAAAAATGCGCAGAAGCCCGTATTTCGTTTAAGCATTGGCAACAGTTGATATTAGCTTCTTGTAAACCTCAATGCCATTCAGATACGTATCCGCGCGCAGAAATTCATCGTGATCATGCAGCAGTAAAGGGGTCTTATTGATTGGCGAAAATCCCAAAGCCGGAATACCTGCATGGCGGACGTATCGGCTATCGGTGGCGCCAGGGAACACGCGGTATCGTGTTTTTAGACCTCTGTAAGAGCACAATAAAATTTAAAATCATAATTCGTCAAGCCTAATCATACATACACTTCGTCTAATGCTTTCTTAAAAGCCACCCAATATATATTCGATTCGTCTATCTTGGTCGGCTTTACATATGGGTTTTTCATCTCGAAATCCAGTTCAATGCCGCCGCCAGCCTCTGCGCACCAGTTGCGAACTTGCTTCTCGAAGGCATCTACATCGACTGTTATAGCGATTCGAATATCAAAGACTACCTCTAGCAAGGGTGGTACTACATTGCTTTGCACTCCTCCGCGTAGTTGTGTTAGGTTAACGGTGGTTACATCTCCAATGTCAATGTTGGAGTCTTCCTTAAGTCGTTTCAACTGTGATTCACGGAACTCCATCATTTTATTCACAATATAATGGAGCTTCTCGCCAGCGGTGTTGGGTAACAACAGGGAACCGTGACCCGCAGTTCCACTGATCTTAAACTTGAGATCTGAAATAAAATTCATAGTGATATTTGCTTTATGGAAAGTTGTGTCTGACTTACGCCATAATGTTCTTTCGGCATAGTAAACGGCGTAGGTTTCATCCTCACTGGAAATACCCTCGTCAAAGCTGAATCCCACGTTTAGTTTCTTGAAGTAATCACTCTTCACCAACTCGCGCATGCCTAGATGACCCCCAACCTCTTCATCAGGCACGTAGGTAAGGTAAACAGTACGCTTTGGCTGAAAGCCGCTGGCTTTGAGGGCGCGAATGGCACCCAGATATTGAGTTCCAACGCACTTCATGTCCTGCGAGCCACGCGCATAAATGCGACCTTCGTCATCTAGATCGGCGCTGAAAGGTCCGTGAGTCCACTTGTCAGCGAAAACAGGCACAACATCGGTGTGAGAGTTTAGAATAATGGAAGGTAGTTCAGGCTCCTTGCCTAGCCATTTCATTACTACGACGGGATTGGATTCGTTAACGGGATAAAGAACATCCACCGGCAGTCCCAGGCTGTCTGCCTGACGTTTCAAGAATTCTACACAAGCGGCTGTAAAACGCAGACAGTTAATCTTTATAACATGAGTAAAATTGCTTATCTTTCTGCACTTTTCGTAGTTTTTACGATATTTACAATCTCACAAAACTTACTGTAATCCACATTTGGGTGCACTGTTGGAATACGTAGGTATTCGCGGAAAATTTTAATTTCCTCATTGTTTTCCCACTCGGACTTGCTCATTTTAAACAGATTCTGCGTATATTAATCGATGTATATATTTTTAATGGAATGTGAATCTTAATGCATAAATTTTAAATGGAATGTGAATCTAAAAATGTGCGAATTTTGATATTTGCCAAACAGCTGACTGTTGTGGCGGGATCAGCTGTTAACAGCCTCGTAATACCTTCTCAACACTGGCAGCGATCGTCGACGACTGTGGTCGTTCGGGCGCTCAACTGTTTTAAATACGCCAGCAATCCAATTGCCAGACGATATTATCTTGTTTCTGAGGTTTTCGCAGCTTATCAGCTTTAAATGCAGGAATATTGCCATTAACTTTATTGTTTGTTTGTTTATAGTTTGGTCGCGGTTTATCAGCAACGTTTGTTTACAATTCGCCTGCTAATCTATGCATAGAGTATTACTGACCCCTTTTGGTTCTTAAAAGCGTATAAATACGAGTGCCTACGGGAAATATTGGCGCACTCGTTGCAGTTCACTGTACATGTTGTGTTGGTTTCTCGATTTGCCAGCGGCACTAGCATTGGCTTAGTGTTAAATTTATATTGTACGAGTACATTCCACTTGAATTCCTAATCTCCAAGCGTTGCACACACAAATAGACGCACACATATATACATACATACACTTATGCATATCCGGACATGAGCATCTAGTCCGAACGTGTGGCATGTAAACAAGTAGTTGTAGTTGTTGCTGCTGCTGCTGCTGATGCAGATGCTGATACGAGTACTGTTGATGTTGTTGCCGTGCTTAGCAACTACCAACTCCCCCCCAACCAGGCGTGGCAGCTGCCAACTGTCGGTGTTCGTGCATTCGTGTGTGTTTGTTTTCGGTTTGTTTGGTTATGTATGTGTGCGTCAGATTTCACGCTTATTTCAATGGGCACAAATTGCTGTACACAAAAGTTGCACGAAGCAAAACTGAAACGTCGAGATTTGTACAGCTCGTAGACATCAGTTGCGCTTTGTGTGTGTATATCTTCTGGGTATAAACATACACATATGTATGTACATATGTTTGTGCCATCAGAAAAAGTCATTAAAAGTTCATTAACAATGTTGCAAGGATTTTAATGGCAGACACTGCGCCACCAACTACAGCGACTACTGTGTCAGCAACACATGACTACATTTCAAATGACAATAAGATACAAACACACACCCAAAGATAAGTCAAACAATACAAAGGCATGTATACGTGACATTGTAGGTATGCATGTATACATATGGATGCTTGAGTATGTATATTTCATTAAAATGCTTGTCTGTAATTGTTGTGGGTGTGTTTGTTTTCGCGGCGTAAATAAACTATGTACATATATCATTGTATTTTTTTACAATTATCCAGTCAACAGAGCATGTATGTATGTACATTTGCCAACGGCATTAAGAGCTATTGAAATTCGCGTTTATATCTTTTTTTAATATGCGCTTTCATTAATTCCTAGCAACTTATCCTTTAATGTCACTGTACCCAAAGTTGCTATAATCGATATCACTTACTACGCATTGTTCCACATTTGTGGCAGACATTTCAGTCTTTCCTTTTTTTTCACATTTCCCACCATCTATGTGTCAATACCTTCTGTACATAAAGCAAAGCCCAAGCACATGCTCTAAGGCGCACTTTTCCATATTAGAGCTGGGCGCGTGTCATTTTTCCTTTTCTGATGCGAGCACGCGCGAACTTAAAATTTAATTTCGATTTTCAATAGAAGAACACATCCTAGTAGAAAATAAAAATCAGCTCAATTTACTATTGATGAATATAATAATATATTTTTGCATGAGCCAATAAAAGAGCGAAATGAAAAAGCTTGCACTTTAAAAGTGCACATCACATGGGTTTTCCAATATACATATACTAAAGTTTTTGTTAAAAGAAATCCATAACTCGGCCATATCAGATGTATAAATGTTATAAGAACTCAAATTGTAGTACCATTTTGTGCGTCACTTACTTTATTATTCACTAGCGGGTATAACCCGGCCTTGCCCGTGGCACGTATGTTATAAAATCAAAAAAGCTTTGAAAATGATTTTAAAACTGATCGGACGGGAATCAAACAACTTTTATGCAAATCGGAAAACTCTTAAAACTCACCAAAAAAATCTTTGAAATGCATTTTCCACAGAAGGAGTTTAGATTTTGCAAAAAGTGTGAAACACGTCTCAAATGATTTTTCGTATAGATCTTTGGAAATAAATTTGAACACAAAACGTCATCCACCAAATCTTCGACCCCCATTTGCACCAAGGAGGACCGGATTTTTCGAAAAGTGTGAAACACCCCTTAAATGAATTTGAACAAAGATCTTTGAAAATAAGTTTGGGGCCGATCGGATGGTAAACAAAAAACTTTCAAACAACCGTTTTCCGCCAATTTACCACTGTTGCGGGTGGAATTTCCCAAATCGCTGAAATACGTATTTATTAAGTTCTTATGTAGAGCTTTGAAAATAAGTTTGAAGCAAATCGGACACAACTTAAAACTTCGCCCAAAAAATCTTTAAATCGCATTCCCCCCGAAGAAGTTTGAATTCTGCGAAAAGTGTGAAACACGTATCAAATGATTTTTCTAATAGATCTCTGGAAATGAATTTGAGTGCGAAACGTCACCCACCAAATCTTTGACCTCTATTTCCACCAAGGAGGAATGCATTTTTCAAAAAGTGTGAAACACCCCTTTAATGAATTTAAAAATAGATCTTTAAATATGAATTTGGGGCCGATCGGATGGTAAACAAAAAACTTTCATACAACCGTTTTCCGCCAATTTACCACTGTTGCGGGTGGAATTTTCCAAATCGCTGAAATACGTACTTATTAAGTTCTTATAACGAGCTTTAAAAATAAGTTTGAAGCAAATCGGACACAACTTAAAACGCCGCCCAAAAAATCTTTAAATCGCATTCCCCCCGAAGAAGTTTGAATTCTGCGAAAAGTGAGAAACACGTCTCAAATGATTTTTCATATAGATCACTGGAAATGAATTTGAGCGCGAAACGTCACCCACCTAATCTTTGACCTCCATTTCCACCAAGGAGGAATGGATTTTCCTAAAAGTGTGAAACACCCCTCAAATGAATTTGAACAAAGATCTTTGAAAATAAGTTTGAGGCCAATCCGATGGTAAACAAAAAAGTTACATACAAACGTTTTTCGTGATTTTTCCACACTTGCGGGTGGAATTTCCCGAAACCCCGTCTTAACGTGCACCTACATTACATAAGGTAGCTACAGTGAAAATTTCAGCTTCCTAGCTCTTACGGTTTGGGCTGTGCGTTGATCACCAATCAGTCAGTCAGTCAGTCAGTCAGTCAGTCAGTCAGGACAAACAGTTTTATATATAGAGATTAAATTTACATTATAATGTTAAAACTTATGCTTAAAAAACCAACCATTATGCTTACAGAGCGAATAAATATTTTCAAGAGATTTTTCAAGGTGTTGAATAAATGAGTTGTGAGCTGGCCTTAAATATTGTACATGATGGATATGCATATTTACATAAGTAATTTCAGCAGTACAGAAAAATGCCATGAATATATTTGCCTTATGTAGTCTACTTTTAAATGCATATTCAATTTATTTCATTATTTCAATTTGCCAATATCAACTTAAGGAGCAACTGAGCTGTATATGGATAAAGTTTTAAATTTATAATTTTACTATAAGTAAAGTTCAATGATTTAAGCTCAAAAACATACAACTTAAAAATTAAGTGTATTGTTCATTATTTAATTAAATATGTGAAGTTAAACTAGAGCAGAAATAAAAAAATTGCCAGAAAATTAAGAAAACAGAGCTTTGGTCTCTTATTGCCTTAAGTGTTTATGGCTATGTTGTAGCCTAGCAAAGGTCCCTAATTACCTGTTAACTTAACTTAACTTAACTTCTTAAATAAGTATTCACATGAGCACCCGAATTCATAGAATATGTTCTATAAGACATTACACCGCAATTTTAAGTAGTCGAAGTCAAATTCAAGCAGATTAGTTGAAAATTTAGCAACTGCTACTGTCTAAATTCTGATACACAGATAAAATAGCTATTTGGAGTAATATCATAATTAGTTTCTCTCGGAATATTTAAGCCTCGAACTCACTTAAACGCCATGTAAGGATTTAAATTCATTCAAATGGTACTCAATTATTTTACACGTAAAATTAACGCTTTTAAGTGTTAAGTGATATGTGAGTTAAATTGGTTTTCATTTGTCACATTAACTTTATGAAAATATACATTTGTTGATAATTAATGAAGCCCCAATTAATTAATTCGCAATGCGGATCAATTACAGTAAATATTTGGTCAAAATTGCATTTCCTGCAAACAATTGATTTATAAATACCTAACTAGCAATCGGGGCAGAGTTGATTACTTATTAGGACGTGTAATTGCAATATCAGTACTACACTTTGCTTCTGATACAATTTTGAGAGAACAAAAAAGGATATATCAAAAATATTGCAGCTTTGAAGCTGGCGTCAGGCAATAAAATAAAAGTTGTGCAACACGGCAAGAGAAATGACAGTAACAAGATAAGTTCCAATCCTCAGGTGGGCTAGGAGGCTGGCCATTTATAGATGCGAAACCAAAGCAACGCTATTCAAAAGACGAAAGGTCGCTAACGAAGCATTCGCAACAGACTCAACGGAACAAGCACAACAAATGCGGCCCGTGGCAATGCTGCCATCAATGCAAATAAAAGGACGAAAGTTATGATAAATGCAGATGGGATGGAGTATAGCTAGCAGCATTATTGCCTGTCATTTCTCATCAGCCACCATCGACAATAGACAACACGCTCGGCCAGGCACAAGGGAGGGGCGGACGGTGAGGAGGGGTGTCTGCCAGCAACTGACTAGCGACAGCCAACAGGCGACTTCCGGTTGTTGCCGCCATTTTGGCTTGGCTGTAATGGCTGCCAGGCTCTGAATGGCTTCTAATAAAAAACAAGCATGATTTTTGCTACTCTTTTATTTTCCATTACACCGCCCCTCGCCTCTCTTTGGCCTGCCACGCGCCATAAGAGCGATGAGCTGCAATTTGCAAAGTTTTTGCCCGCTCGCTCACACACCCATAAATATTATATGTATATGAGTTTGTGTGTGTGTGCTCCGAAAAACTTCATTTTGCTGCTGCTTCATTTGAGTTTGCGTTTGGCGCGACAAATTTTTGTTTGTCTGCCCGTTGAAAGGTATCCCAATGTACACTCCTCCTGCCCTCCAGCCGTACCTTGGCTGACTGTGGCATGTCTGCAGCG